ACGGATCAATAAAGGGAATATAAGCCGAAAAAGAAAATTAATGAATAATAAAATATGACCAAATAAAATAAAAAAAACAGCAATAGATCCAGACCAGAGAGGAATAGATCTAAAACAACCAGACATGAGAGATTAGAATATAAGCAAACAGAATAGCCCTGTACTAAGAAACACAGAATAGTATATGGGAGAATACAAATAAAATGGAAGAGGCAAGACTAGATCTAAGAGGAGATGGGTATAGATTTTGACTGAAAGATCAGAATGTAATATGACAGTATAGAATATGCAAGAATAGAACAGAATAGAGTACAGTATGGCAGAATATACGTATATTCTAATATAGAGTATGGCAGAAAAAAACAAACCAGACCAGACAATAGAACAGATGTCCAGCCTGTCTTAAACTGCAAAACTGAATAGAATTCATGATGTAAACTACAATAGAACAGAATAGAGCAGAATTTAATACAAAAAAGGATGTATAACAGAATATATATTATAAAGGAATAGATCTATATAGTTCGGGCAATAGAATACAAAACAACAGAAAATAATAGAATAAATAGAACAGAAAAAGGGTGAGCCTTTTCTATTCAATTCTATTGCAATCATCCATGTCCTAAACCCCAAAATGGAATAGAATATGGTCTAAACAAGAAACAATAGAATAGAATAGAATGGAACAGAATGCAGTATGACAGAACAGATATGAAAATGAAATAAATCTATGTCAGGTAATAGAACATAATAGAATATATAGAACTTCTGCACTGATCATTTGTGCAAATCTGTTCTAAATGCTACAGTGCAGGTTTGATGTTTATAATACCAAATGGAAGTTCAGGCTGTTTCAGAGATTCTTTACAGACCATCCTCACCTGTTTCAGCACAGTCTCTCTCCAGTGTTATGTGGAATATTTAATGAACACTTTACAATATTTAGATAAAGGTGGAAAATACCAGCTGGGAATCTGACATGCGGGACTGAACAATCTCTACATCTAGACAATCAGCATGAGACTCTTTTCTCTACATCTTACAGCCTTTTATCTGGTGACGTGACAGCCTTTTTACTGCCACCATCAGTGCTGTCAATTATCAGCGCGTTCATGTGGAAATATGACAGTCAATCACTTCTTTGATTGGTTTTGTGTGCAAGTAATCCTCTGATTAATATTTTGACAGATATAAGAATTAGAGCTGCTGATATTAGCCAAACAATGCTAATTTGCAGAAATAAAGTAAAATATAAAGCTTTGGTTAAATAATTACTGATATTTAGAGTTTACTACTACTACTACTAATTATAATATTATTAATAATTATATTAATAATATTTCTATGCCAATCAAAGCTGCTGTTATTATAAATACAAACACTGATAATTTCCCCAAAAATGTCAATATTATACAAATAAAATCTATAAAAACTGGTTATAATAATTAATAATTCGTTTCAATATTATAATATTCTATATTATTAATATTCTTTACTATGTTTAAATGCTATTTTTCTAATACAGTCCACTAATAAAAATGAGCAAAGTTAATGTTAGTAAAAATCTAATAAAATGTACAAATTTACCCAATAGTAATAAAATAAGTGTTCTTCAAAGAAAAATCCTGCAGGATTGATGTATCCTTTAAGGAAGCAGTGGTTTCCTGTTGCTTTTGACAGGAAAACACTGAAGCAGCGGGGACGCGCAGCTGTTCGGGGGCGCGTCTTTAAGTGCTTGCCATAAGACGTTGTTGTTATCCTCTCCTTTGCCTTCGTTTCTTTCTCTATTAAATCCATTAATTGACTTTTCGTGACGTTAGCAGGGCACAATAAAAATATAATCCATTTATATATCAAGTAAAACGTCCATGATTGTAAATTTACAAATTAAGCTTTTAACGTGTATTATGTTAAAAAGCAAATTCTGTGAATATTATTAAACGTATGACTCTAGTGCTGAATAATGCGTACAGGACAGTTAAAGGACAGGCCTATACAATCCACAAACCTTATTTGATGCCTCACGACTGTGTTTAAGGTTATATCAACATGGCCTAACCAAATAACATCTTTTATTTTCTAGTCGTGCCTTTAAAATCACAATCCGCCATTTCTCTCCTAATAAAACTGTAATTGTGATGTCCTCTAGAGATCGCGAGACTCATCTGTGCGTTAGAGAAGGACAAGTGTGTGATGCTGCTTCTGTAAACCACAACCTCTGCTGATGCTTACACGGCAAAATATTAACCGATACATCCATCAATACATCACACAACAGCCAAAAGATGACTGCAAATCCATGCACGTCAATAATATCAACATACTGTATGATCCTTCACAGCATCTCGGCTGAAAAATAAGAGAAACGTGTCGTGCAAATCGTACCTCAGATTAAAGGCAGCGGTTTATTCAGTCCTTTCCGTGCGGGGATGCAGGATTTCAGCGCTTCACTCTTAAACACTCATTCTGGGGCACTGCGTGGATTACTCGTTCATTTGGTAGTGCCACATTGGCTGTGTCTCAAACACCAGTGTGCTGCCTACCTAGAGACCGCAGTTTTGGGCGTCATAATCGCTGTCGGCGTCAGCTGACTGGAAACGCGCCAATAAATGCGGCGGAGAGTTTTTGAGGGTGCTTTCACACCTGTGAATCGATTCAGTTGTTCCGAAACAGAGATTACAATTGTTACATTGTTGCTCTTTGCTCTTGGTGCGGTTCGCTTTCAGACTGCAAAGTTTCTAATCGGACCAAAAGAGCTAAAACAAGTCACGTGCGAGTAAACTCTCCTTACATTGGTCAGAGTGTCAGGGTTTATTTTGCAGCGTCCCGCTCAGCTGTCAGGAGGTGGTGATTTGGTGGTGATTGACAGGATGCGCGCGCGTGACGTGTCTGAGGAGAGACACGGTGGGGAGGGGTGAGAAGGGTGCGCGACGATGCCTATTTGAGGACTGGGAGAGAGACGCGAGATTACCGGGAGATCATCACTCGTTTGCGGGCATCCGGAGACTCGCGAAACTTCCCGCCCTACTCATAATTCTCTCTTCATGTAGCCGTAAGCCTATTACATATCCATAAAACACTGTGATATAACCGCGCTCGGATCGGATCGCTTTCTCACTGCAATCGAACCGCTCCAGGGTTCGTTTCAATCGAGCCGAGACCACCTCACTCAAGCGATCTCGGAGCGATTACTTTGGCGCGGAACAGAGTGCGATTGCCCTGTTCACATATGCCAATCGAACCGCTCTAACTGGGCAAACGAGATACGTTCCGAAACAAAAGTGTAGGTGTGAAAGCACCCTGAGACGCGTCCATTGTGGAGGAAATGTGCGCCTGAAGCGGCCTTTAACAGTAAACGCTGATGTACTGAGAAACGCAGCCCTGCCGTCAAACGCACTCCCTCTGAAAAGTGCATCCAATAACTGAAATTGATTCACATTTTTAATGACAGAGTTATGACACTAATGAGAGCGACTGAGCGGAGTCTCATGAATGAAACCCTTCTAACACAAGAGATGTAGCTTGACTTTAAATACCGATGAGATTAAGTGAATTGTTTAATGTGTGGTTTAGTTGAAAACAATTTTGTTTTCCATGCTAATGTTTGTTTAACACCCACCAAAAATGCTAATTTTAGGCTACAGTACAGTCAATGTTTTTATTTCACATTTATTTGTAAACCTAGTGTGTATTAAAATGGGCTTCTTGTTCTTGCTTTAATAATCAAATTATAATCATATTACGTTTTAATCAACCGTGGCCTTTCTTATGTAGACAGAGAATGCTAATGAAATTCTATGAAAGGGGCGCATTTTATGGCAGGGGTGTGTTTTTCGACATAGATTACCAGTAAACCAAACCAACTAGGCTACCCTAGATGGGACTGTCCTGTATTGGGCATTTATTTCTCTTTGGATGTGAACAGCGTGCATTATTATTTATGATTTTATAGGCATAGATATTTTAAAATGAACCCTCTTTCTGTGTTTGTTTTACATTGTTTAGACTTTGTCTTGTATTGTTTGCATTTAAACTTATTTTCTGGAAAACAACAACTTGAGTTTAAGATCAAGATACAATTTCTTAGCCTGACAATAAAAAAAAAAAAAATAAAAATAAAAATGAAAAAAGAGATGTACTAGTAATAACAAAGTGAATCTTGCTGTAAAGAAGCTGCAACTAAATAGAATAGGACTGGACAAGAATGAATACGACATAGAAAGAAAAAGATGTAGCCAATACCAGACAGAATAAAATAAAATACAAAATTTCACAAAAACCTAGCAGATTAGACTAGAAAAGAATTGGACAGAAGAAATATGACAGTAGCCTACAAGGGGTATCTTGGCCAGACAGGAAAGAATAGAATAGAACAAAGAAAAGAGTAGAATATATTAGAACATAGAAAAGAATTGAATAGAACATAGAATACAGCAAATGCCATACAGTAAATGAACAGAAATAGCTAAATAACTCAATAAATAAGTCATGTACGAAAAGTGTGAGATGAGAATAGAAGAATAGAATAGTCCTGTCCTCGAATAGAATGTAGCAGGAACAAATCTAGTAAATGACTGAATAGAACAGTTTAAGAGAATTCATCAAGAAAAAACAACATAAAACATCTGGTGCAGAGTAAATTTGATTTTACGTGGCTTATTCACTAGATGGTATGCTGTATAGATACAATATTGGCTAATTAGAACAAACGTGAGATCTTATTGTTGGAAAGTTACCGTTAGGCCTGACACATGACTGTAAACAAAAAATGAGACTTTCACAAAACTTGATAGCTGTACCTGACCACTAGAGGGCGCAAGGACACCATTTATTGTATTGTGTGCCTTCTTGTGTTCATGGTTTTATTATATAACGCCATATAAATACACTTTATTTCTTAAAGTCTTTTCGTTCTTTTTTATTTCCACGCCTTTCAGCTGATCTAAACAGCAAACCGAAAGAAAGCAAAACAAGACGTATTTAAATCATGTGACCTGTCGTCATGACGTGTTCGTAGCTCATCCGGGTCAAAAGTCGTCAGCATGGACACGGGAGATGTGCTCGCATCTCTGGTAAATAACGATTTATTTGAACTTATCAACAAACACAAAACACTGCAGAATAACGCGACAGGAGTACTTATTTAAATGTTTTCAGCGCACACACATTCATGGCTGTCTAACGTTAGAGTCCAAATGGCTACATGTCAATCTAAGTTAGCTTGCATGCTAACAAGCATGTTTTGAGCGAATGACAAAATAACGAAATTAATAAGGAATACGAGTGAATATCGCTAATTATTGACATTTATCCAAAGATAAAAGTGCTCATATTAGTCTTTAAAGTGCTTGACATCGTAATGTAAACCGTCCTGTCATTGTTTTTCCTCCAATGCAATGGTTTTGCGCATTACTGTACGTTACTGTAGTGTTTAATTCTCCACTGGATGTAATATTTCTTTTAATAAACAGGGTGTAGAGGGAGCCACCGCGGCTGCGCATGCGCTCTCTCTTCCAGCTGAGGCCTATGGAAATGATGTGAGTTGGGATGTTTTGATATTTGCATGTTTTTATATACACACACACTTTTTTTTTTTAAATCACCTTAAAATGGCAACTTTTTTTCTCATCTTTCAGGCCCAGTTGGAGGTAATGTGGGCTATGAAAGCCTACAATCATGCTGAAGTTTACTTCAATGTAAGTGAACAAAATGCCACAACCTGTCCTGCTGTTTTGATTGCTTTAGTGTATATCGTTTAGTTTACCTGTGGTTTGTTTTTCTACAGCTTATTTCATCAGTTGATCCTAAATTTCTAAAACTAACTAAATCGGACGAGGAGATTTATACTAAATTTCGGGAAGCTTTTCCTGACCTCAATATTCAACTATTGGACCCGGAGCTGCTGAAGTCAGCAGAGGCTAAAGAGGTCTGTAGTATCACTCGCATGCATTTGGAGGTCAATAATTCTTATACGGGGCATTCTACCAGAAACATACATTATTTGTCCCTGAAATAAAAACAAATACAGTGAATAAAAAGTATTTAATTTCTAAAGTTTCTAATATGGAATGGTTGCTGATTTCTGCGAGTTGTTCTGTGAAGGAATATGTCTTTCATTTGGTTCTCAGATTTTTCTTTCTTTAATAAAAACACTTCATACAAACACTGTCATTGTCCTTAGCTTAATTGAACCTACAGCTTTAATAGTTTTGTTATGCTAAAAACTGCAATTTAGAAATAAAATTCTTCAGAAATAGCAAGTTTAAGTTATTATTCACATCAATTGATTAAAAACATTAAATTATAAATAAATTATTTTACAATTGTCCTCATGTTTCTGTCAGTCCTGTCACATTTGCATTAATTTTAACATAAAAAGCATGAAGTACCCCTTTAAGGCTAAGACTTGAAGGTGACATATTTGACGAAGAAGCCGACAGTGATCGGGGAGGCATTCTGTCATTGCATTGATTGATTTATTTTGAGGACGACAAGCTTGAGTCAGGCCCTGTCACATTTTATATAAGTGAAAATTTACGTTTCTGGTATATAGTCCCATATATGGTTAGGTTCTTATGGCTCAAGCTCTCTTTAATGGATTTTTTTTCCAGAACTGGAGGCCCTTTTGTAACCAGTTTGAAGGTATTGTTGAGGACTTCAACTATGGTACACTACTACGTCTAGACTGTCAAAAGGACTACACTGAAGAGAACACAATATTTGGTATGTGATGTCACATGTGCTGGATAAAATTAATATGACATTTATGATCACACTCACTTGAAGATATAGAAGAAAATAGCACTCTTGCTTGCGTGATTATTTAAATCTTATATCTAACTAAAAGCAAAAACCCATACAGGGATATCACCTGAATTATAGGGTTATTCAAATACATTTCTTCACCCTGTGAATGCTTTGCTAAGTAAGTGACATGCTTGAAAATATCTGCACGGCCATTGTTAAAACAATCATTTGGATGTGATGGTAGACAATAGACATTTCACAGCAGCTTCAAAGTTGGCCATATAGCTGAATTGGGAACCCTTAATAAATATTTTGCACCGTTTTCATTTCAGCAACCAGAATCCAGTTTTACGCCATTGAGATTGCCAGAAACAGAGAAGGCTACAATGACATTGTGCACAAAGCCAATTCAAAAACCAAACAACTGAAAAAAGACAAGAGTTAATCATGACTGCATGATCTTTAAAGTGGCCTTCTAGGTGTTGAGGAGACTTTCAACACATCACGTTCAACAATGGAGGAATACCTTTATAAATTCCTGAGATGGAAAGCTTAGATGTTTTTCTGTGTAATTGTATTTAAAATGGGCTTTTCAGTTGTATTCAAGAGTTGGATGGTGGATAATTTAAGTGAATTTTTCACTAATGTCTGGCACCATTTTGTTTTTGTAATAAATCCAGTTTTTCCCCTCTTAAAAATGAAATGGCTTGTTTGGTTAACTCAACATAACTGCATTTGCAAACAATGTTTTTCCAACTACGACAAGATATCAGTGTTTCCTCTAGGGGTTTTCCAGCTGTGGCGGCAGGACTTTTTTTACGGAGATCTTTCAATTACCAGTGGCATTATTTCAATGACAAATGTTGTGAGCGCAGTATTACAACTTGAGATCATTCTTGCAATACGAGCTTGCGTGCTGATTTTCTCTGTTCATGCACAAAACTTCTTGCACGCCCTCAAATAAATGCTGCTTAAGCAGATTTTCTTGTGTGCTCTCAAATAAACCCTACTTTAGCGCATTTGTTACGAGTGTCTCCGACATTTATTAAATTTGCTAGGAATATTTCAGAATGTTTCCAATAGACCTCCAGTACGGCATTGATGTGTCCCGAAGTAAAGTGAAACGGCTATAAACTCCAGCAGGCTAAAGTCACTGTATGCAGAACCATAAACCTTTATCTATAAATAAAGTATAATTATGGAAACTGAAAGCTGTGTCATGCTTGCTGGCCTCATGCATCAGTCAGTCAGCATGTAACCTTAACACTAGAACCACCATGGGGTCAATTTTACCCTTCATCACTGTTATTCAAATGTACATCACAGACCTTTATTAAAACATTCAAGCCTTCCAGTTAGTGACTTTTACTAAAATTGCCTAATTTACAACTCCTAGATATTGATTCAAGTTGTTTAAATAAAAATAGATTAAAAAGTTGGACATTTATACCTATAAGCGCCAGTGGGGGTCAAATTTACCCACTATATAAATGATTGTATTTATGCGCCAATGATTTTTCTTTTCAGTTTCACTCACTGAATTAGTGGTTAAAATAAATGAAGTCACAATGACTAAAAGAAGGCGATTTGTAGAGCTATTAAAACACAAAATGCAAAGAATGATGGGAGATTCTGGAGAAATAAGTTATGCATCAGAGTATGATGGCTTAAGTTTAGATATTTTAACCTACTCATAACCTACTCCTAAAATAATCTTGTTAACCGTGGTGAAAACCAGTTGAATATAAAATTTTATATATATATATATATATATATATATATATATATATATATATATATATATATATATATATATATATATATATATATATATATTAGCAATTTCTAAACAAAATTGGACCGCACTGGCAGTTTTAGGTATACAGCGACCTCCGGTGGTTTTAGTGTTAAAGGGTTAAACAAAAAACGCATTGCACTACTACGATAACATTAAACCATTTTGGTGCGATTGTAACCCACGTTAAAAAAAACAACAACTGAAGGTTTCAAATGGGAAGCTATAAGTAGCCGCGGTGGGAATGAATTTGGTGTGGCGCCATGCCATGGAAGAATGAATATAGCGGAGACCATGGTTATATACCAAAAACGTTTAAACAGCCTTTTTTAGGTTACATGCTATATTGAACTGCTCAAATTGAGTTGGTGAGAAACACATAGTCTTCACACTTGATCACAGTTTTGGAGAGGTTTGGAGACATTTCATTTTTCATCAGGTAAACAATCATTGTTATTTAACAACAGTGCACACTATTGAGCGTGCAATACTTTTGCTTTTAACAGCCTTCTTTTCAATCGTGTCAAAAATAAAATGGTCCTCCTGTCCTGTCAAAGTCTCAACTTGATTTTCCCTATAGAATCCAATGATCCTTATCGAATGCATAAACTGACAATGCATCTTAAATGCAACGCTAGTTTGAACTAGTGTTCTTCAACTTAGTTTACAGTAAGAAGGTGTTCACACTTTGTGGTTTGGCTTGTTTGGTGCAGACTAATGGAAAATTATTCATTTAGTTCTGGTAAAAAAAATGCTCTGTGTGAAGATTATGCTCTCTGAGAAGCTTATCTAATGTGCCAAGAACAGCAAAGAGTAAAAACAGCAATATAATTTCCGTCATCTTTTCGGTTCACACTGGTTTTGATGGCATCGTTCACACTTGCAGTGTGTTTCCACTGGCACATTGTGAATGAAGCAGAGCATTTTCAGTTAATTTATTCAGAGGATGGTCAATGCTCATGCAGTGCATTATACTTAACTTCAATAGGAATCAATTGAAAATGCTCACTCTGAAGCCTCACAACATGCCAGTGGAAAGGTACCATTATTCTCTGAATCACACTTTAAAAAGCAATCACACCAGTTTAACCTGAACCAAACCTCCCAAGAGTACTAGAACACAGATACTGCCATCATCTGTGCACAAAATATTCCAGTATTTAATATATCACTGTTTTATGGTATACATACCTCAATAAGGCATATATTGTAGCTTGATGGATTATTTTTTGATTTCATGTTACTTTCAACCTTATTTGTCACGATGTGGGACTGTCGATCACAAAAAGTGCACATACTAGTACAAACCAATGATGTTTATTTTGCAGTCACAATGCTTACACTATATGTAGCAGACATCCAAACAAACAATCAAACAGTTCAACCAGCTACCTTATCACTCAATGGACCCAACACACAGTCGCCAAAAAAACACATTCACATCAGGGAACCAAGAAAGAAAAGTGAACATCCATGAGTGTTGGACAAGGTTAAGAGATGAGCTAGTTCTTCACAAACAGTTAGCAGCAACATCTGTTGAGTAGCACAAGTTGCTAATATACTCCATTCGGCCTCTGTTTAAATCTACCATATTCTGATGCTGTTCGTTATTGAAAATAAAACTGAATTCCAAGGGGAGAACGGAAAACAAATAGGGTTAAAGCTAGAGACAACTGTTGAGAATGATCCTGTCGATGACTCGAGTACCAGGGCCTTTAGATTTTATTTTTTAAAGGACACGGCTACATTCTAGAGGCTTCACTACCGAATGACACCAGATCAACAATAAAGCCACGAGAGACTGGAAGCCTGTGAGATCAAAAAGCAAGGGAAAACAGTTTGACGAAAGCTCAGAGAGCAACTTCACCACAACCAAGTCACTTTATCTAATCAAATCCACAGACAACATGATCAAACCCTTCAGGAGACAAAAGGAGGGGGGAGGGGGTTGTTTTCTCCTTTAACGGAGCTCTCGGAATGAATTTTACACAAGGATGGGTCAAACTAAGGACATCCTCAGTGATGGAGGTGGTGGAAATGTCAAGATGACCATAAAGGCGAAGGTTGACAAAAACTTTATCATGCCCAAGACTTGAGGGAAATGGCGTCTTGAAGACGCTAACGCCAGGGGTTTCGTGTATTTACAAAGCTCCCGTTTATGTTCTGGAGTCAATTCTAGGAGGAGAACGGGGAAAATAATAAATGTACAACTTTTGATCCTATTTTCGACTTCTCATCCCATCCCATCGGTGGACAGGTGTTAATCCCAGCACTCACGCCACAATCCCACATCACCAGCGGATATAAAGGACTCTCTCCAAACAGACAAACCCACACTTCAGCACAGTTGCACTAACTTACTAGACTGTAAAAAGTTTTCAATCACACTCATTATTTTGTCTTAAATCGTAATCATTATAAACATTGTTGAAAATGTTATGAAAAAAATGTACACTTTTTTTTTTCCTTATGTGTTTCTATACAAGGCAGGCAAAAGCAGAGCACTATGTATACCAGCTCATCCTAACCCTTCCTCCCACAGACATGCTCTCAAACACACTTGCACTCTCACACACACACTCACATACAAACACAGGCGCCCACTTCGTCCCTCGGAGCGGTTTGGGTGTGTTGCCCATTCTATAGAGTCCACACTGGTGCGGTCCCACACCCCAAACCCATTCCCCAGCCGTACCCTATTCTCTCTCTTTGGACTTCAAGCCCCAAATGACAAGAGAATGGTCAAGGAGAATGACCTCTAGAAACTGGCTTTAAAATATGTATATATTTATATGTGTATATATATATTTATATATATATATATATAAAAAAGGGATGGGGAGGTGTGAGGGGAGAGAGGTAATGGGGTTTTTAGGGACTGGGGAGCGGGAGGTGCAGGCTTGCGCAGCGGTGCTCCCCCAGCAGCCGGGCTGGGGGCGGGTGGGAGTTGAGGGAGGGGCCGGGCCACACGGGCGGAGCCTGGTGCTCTATGGAATGTCAGCTCATCATGTCGTTGCTGTTTACCCCGTATGTGGAATTCTTCATGGAGTCATTGACTTCTCTTCTAAATACTGAAAGATTCTGTGTAAACCTGTGAAAGAGAGACAGAAAAAATGAGTTTGAGGATGAAGTTATAAACGTGCTAAAATTATCACTCACTAAGGGGCAAATGAAAATAAAAAAAAACAATTGGTGAGTATATTGGCAGATGCCTGTTAGGTTTATTTAATAAATGCTAGTACTGCTTGTAAAATCTTAGTTTGAGTTTAGTAAAGATATGTTATGTGATGTACATCAAGCCAACAAAAGGCCGTTCTGGGGGGTTGTTAAAACTTGTAATGTAGGATTATGCAGAGGCTAATATTAATCAGAAATTTAGTGTACATAGTTTTACATTAGGAAATTCGGTTTTGAATTTACAAGCAGTCAGCAAGTATCAAAGAACAGATGTAACACATTGATCATATTCAGTTTTCAGTCATGTATATGTAAAAGTCATATTCAACTGGTTTAGTTTTGTCTTCATTCATTTTTGTTTTCAGTAGTGACAAAGCACGAGTCTTTAAACACATGATTTTTTAACAACCCATTTTTAAACATAATAGTTTAACCAACTCATTTCTAATAACTTCTTTCCCATAGTGACAATTAGTGCTTAATATTTTACTGGTTATTTTGCAAGATAGTATTCAGATTAAAGAGTAATCTAAAAACTTAACTAGGTTATGTTAACTAGGAAAGTTAGAATATTTAGTTGAGTTATTGTAAAACTAGTTTGTTCTGTAAACGGTCAAAAATACACAGTAAATATTTCCTAAGGAGGCTAATAAAACCGAACTTAAAATTGTTTAAAAAAAATTAAATTGCTTTTATTCAAGAAAAGCAAGAAATAAGACTTATGACAGAATAATTATTTTTTAATACTGTGAAAATTTTGCTTGGTTTGTTAGAGATCACTTAAGAAACATTATTTTTATTTAATAGGACGGCAAAAAAACAAAAACAAATAAAAAGACTTCAACTGGTTTTCAGGTGCAAAAATGTGCCTTGATGTACTAGAATTTTAAAAAAGTGTTATTAAAGTTACTTTTCAAATAAATTAACATGGAAGATTATTTTGAGACTGTAATTTTATTGGCTTGCTAATGAAGACTGCAGAGAGATGCATGGAAAAAAAGACTTAATAATGAAGTAGTTTGTGATGCATGTTAAAGTGCGCTCCCTAAACG